TAACGTTTGCTTCTGGGGTTATTGGCAGAAGTAGATGAAGACGTCAACGCGGGGCTGGCCTGCATCATCTGTGGTGACCTGAGTGGTTCCAGTTTATATCTACAATAAAGCTTGTCAAACAAGGTTAAGAGCAGGTCAATCATGTTTCTGGCAACGCACTTAGGAAAATGGTGTGCTTTGGGCTCACGTAGTCCCCCACGTGGCGTGCGGTTTGGAAAGCCAGGTTAAGGCTGGGCCTCGTGGGGGGAGGGCTCGGTACAAGGTGGGCCGTGCCTCCCTAGACCTGCCCGCCCCCCTCCATTCCATACCCTAAACCCCCGGCCCACCGAAGCCAGCCTGCTTCCCACCTTTCTCAGATTGATTCCTACCTCGCTCAGCAAATACAGGCAAAGGTGTCACTTTTTCTATTCCTGGAGGCCCGAGTCCTGACATCCTCCCCTTGGGCTGTTGCCACAGATGCACCGGACCTCAGGTGAAGCAGGACGGGAACTCCGCCAGCCACCCCTGGGTGAAAGGGGCCCCATGAGCAGCCTCTAGGAATCTCCAGCCGAAAGAACTCAGTTGCGTACCGCTTGACACACCTCAGTGGGGCTGCGTCTCACCGGGCCTGGCTTCCTATTGAAACGCTTCTGGACTGGTGCTTTTGGAAACATAGAATCGCTTTCCTCCGGAGAAAAGTGAAGTGCCTGAGACACAAGAGGGAGGAGATCCCATCAGAGACATGCCCACCGGCAGGAATCTGCCTTTCCGTTGCTCTCCCTTGTGGGTTCAGCTTACTATGGGAGAAAAAAAAATCATATGAGACGAATTCTCTAAACTGCCGTTCACTCGTGGCTGATCTGGAAAGCAGCGTCACTCGGAGGAAAAGTGTCCCAGGGTGAGTGGCTGTCCCGGCTCTCGCGGCCTTCACCCTCCAGACCCTGCGTTTCCTGTGTATGGCAGAGGGGCTTAGTGATCTCTCCAGCCTCCTCTCAGCCTCACAAATGTCACCTGCGCCGCATCACGAGGGCTGGCTTGTGTTACCCATTTCTTTCAGTTACTAAACACAAGGAAATGCGCTCATCAGTCACCTCCTAAAGGGGACCTTCCTCGAGCCGCGGCGGCTCCTCTTTGTCAGGCAGCCAGAGGGCCTCCTCCTAGACCTAGGTGGGTATGCAGCTGGCTCCTCTGCCCCAGATGCCCCCTCCCCTGCTGCCGCCCAGTGCCCTAAGCAGGCTGAGCCCCCCCGCGTGCAGCTGCCACGCCAGCCCTCAATGTGTCCTCCCGCAGCGAACCCACGTGAGCACCGCTTGGGTGCCTGCCTGCCACAGGTTCTTGAGTACATGCCACGGAGCGAAAACTGAATTCCTTCCAGAAATCCAGCAAAGCAGCAGGTCCATCAACTGGCACAGAGAACCTTCTTTTTAATAGTTTAAAGGTTTCATAAGTTTCCAAAAATAAGCAGAAGTTGTTTCTACATTTACACTTACAAACATACAGAAGAGTTAAACACATATGTCCCAATAGTTACACATCAAATCTGTGCCTATTAGTGTGCCCTTGTTCCTCACTTTCTCCTCGCCTATTCCATGCCCTACCTCTCCCTCTGCAACAGCACGCGCCCCGTTCCAGCATTTTCTTCCACAGTCTTCTGCATTCTCACAGAACTACTCAGATACGCACAGGGTCAACTACACAGGTACACACATGAGTCAACACCTACTGTTGGGAGAGATATACAAACATATAGACATGTAAGATATACACAAGCATGTAATTTGTATATATATACATGGATATCTATATGGGTTTGTTTTTTGTTCTTTTTGAGATGGAGTCACGCTCATGTTGCCCTGTCTGGAGTGCAGCACAGTGCGCAATCTTGGCTCACACAACCTCTGCCCTCCAGGTTCAAGCGATTCTCCTGCCTTAGCACTCCTGAGTAGCTGCGGACTATAGGCAATGCACCACCATGCCCAGCTAAGTTTTGATTTTGTAGAGACGGGGTTTCACTATGTTGGCCTAGGCTGGTCTTGAACCCACTGACTTGTGACCACCCGCCCTCAGCCTCCCAAAGTGCCTAGGGATTACAGGCAATTAGCCACTGCGCCTGGCTGGTTGTTGTTGTTGTTGTTGTTTTGAGACAGGGTCTCTGTCGCCTGGGCTGAGTACAGTGGCACATCTGGCTCATCCAAACTCTGCCTCCCAGGTCAAGCAATTCTCCTGCCTCAGCCTCCCAAGTTGCTGGGATTACAAGCCGCACACCACCATACCAGCTAATTTTTGTATTTTAGTAGAGACAGGGTTTCACCATGCTGACCGGCGCCTGGTCTTAAACTCCTGACCTCAGGTTAGATATCTGCCCCCTGCCCTTCGGCCTCCCAAGCTGCTGGGCAATTACAGGCATCTATGTAGTACTTTTAACAGACACAGAGCTTTTTTCTCAGCCCACAGTTTTTGTTTGCAAAGAGTGGGACTGTAGCTCTCTGACACTCCTATTCTCAAGGGATCTCTACCTGCAAATGCCTGCCCGCATCAGCATAGTGGGCAAGTAGCTCCTGCGTGCCCCAATGGCTCACCTGGTCATCTGCTTCCAGTCTTTCTGACCCCGATGAACCATCTCCTAACGCACATGATACTAGCCTAGTATTCACAGCCTGCTGGCAGGTGTCAGAGGGCACGTGCTAATTAAATGTTGACAGGTTAAGCAACCAATACTGTCAGGCATCATATTTCTCAGTACTAGTGTACTAGAAGCGAGTGTCTCTGAACATAGTAAAGCAAAAAAAAAAAAAATCACATATCAATGAATTTATTTTGGAGAGCTGCAAGTCTTGCCTGTTGGCCCAGGCTAGAGAGCAGTAGTGTGATCTTGCTCACTGCCACCAGCCACCTCCCAGGTTCAAGTGATTCTTGTGCCTCAGCCTCCCGATAGAGTTGGGATTACAGGCATGAGCCACTGCGCCTTAGCTAACAAATAGCTTTTCTACAACACATGCTCACAATCCTCCGTCCCTCCTTCCCTCCCTCCCTCTTCCCTCACTTCCTATCCGGCAGTCTTGTTCTGTTGGCCAGGCTGGAGTGCAGTGGCATGATCTCAGCTCACTGCAACCTCCATCTCCCAGCTCAAGCGATTCTCCTGCCTCAGCCTCCCTAAGTAGCTGGGACTATAAAGGTGCACACCACCGCGCCCCGGCTAATTTTTTAGTAGAGATGGGGTTTCACCAATGTTGGCCAGGCTGTCTCAAACTCCTGACCTCAGGTAATCCACCCACCTCGGTCTCCCAAAGTGCCGGGATTACAGGCGTGAGCCACCGTGCCCAGCCACAATGCACATTTCTACTAGCAGTGTTCACATCCCCCCTTCCCGCCTCCTCCCCAGGGGGTGTGAACGTGGATACATCTATGAAGACCTTGCATGGCTACTATAAACTGCATTTCCCTGACACTAGTGAATCTGGTCTCTCCCCAGGGCTTGTTGACCATTTGGGCTTATTCATATCCTTCGCCTCTTATGTTGTTTCATAGTCAACCATTTGTCTGTTGACTTCATTTACGATCATTTTAGCCATATATAAAACAGGAGGTTTTTTTTTTTTTAGAGACGGAGTTTTCACTCTTGTTACCCAGGCTGGAGTGCAAATGACGCGATCTCGGCTCACCGCAACCTCCGCCTCCTGGGTTCAGGCATTCTCCTGCCTCAGCCTCCTGAGTAGCTGGGATTACAGGCACACGCCACCATGCCCAGCTAATTTTTTGTATTTTTAGTAGAGACGGGGTTTCACCATGTTGACCAGGATGGTCTCGATCTCTTGACCTCGTGATCCACCCGCCTCAGCCTCCCAAAGTGCCGGGATTACAGGCTTGAGCCACTGCGCCCGGTCCAAAAACAGGAGATTTAAATGTCAACACTCTTGATGGTGGCAGGCGGCCCTTCACTCCCTGGGTTTTAGCAGTGACCTAGGTCTCCTGCACTAAGCGTGTTCACACAGTCTCCCGGTGTTTAACTTGTTTCTTCTTTTGTTATATTTAAGTCTCTTATCTGAAATTTTTTTGTCCATGATCTAAGATCAGATTTAATTTTCTTCCAGACAGATAACAATTTATTTGTGTTTTTAACAACACATTTTTCTTAGAAATAAAAGCTTCATAAAAATAAATCTATATTTGTAAGTGAAATCACTCTAACGGTTCCTCTTGTAGGTATTATTTCCTATTATGTTTGGCTATTAAAATGAACTGAGAAACCTTCCTTCTTTATTTATGTGTAGGCTGAGATAGTTAACTTTACACATTAGCATGATGTGTTTCAAATGTTATGCATGACTCAGGTGTGACTTCTCCAATCCTGATCATTTCTGAGCTCCAACTATGGCTTACTTTGTGTGTCCCTGGGTCAATTCAGATAACTTGTAAATTTAATTTTACTTTTTTAGAGATGGGGTCTCGCTCTGCCACCAGGCTGGAGTGCAATGGAACCACCTTGGCTCACTGCAGCCTCAACCTCCTGGACTCATGTGATCCTCCCACCTCAGTCCTCCAAATAGTTGGGACTACAGGTGCACACCACCACACCTGGCTAATTTTTGTATTTTTTTGTAGAGACGGGATTTTGCCATGTTGCCTAGGCTGATCTCAAACTCCTGAGCTCAGGTAACTGCATGCCTGAGCTCAGTTCCCAAAGTGCTAGGATTACAGGCATGAGCCACCACACCGGCCAATAACTTGTAAATTTTAGAAAACCATTAGATTTTAAAATTGATTATCAGAGAAACACAGGCAGTATTTCCGTGTAATACCTTTAATTTCCTCTCTGTATGCTCACATCTATTGCATTTTCTCTTTGCAATTAAAAAAAAAAAAACAACAAACAAAAACAAAAAAAAACCTTCCAAATATTATTTACATCACTAAAACCTGGAGCAAGGCAAAAACAAAAAACAAAAAAAACCAGCATGTCAATGCCTGGGACCCCAAGCCTAGGAATTTAAGACCAACTTCTTACCACCTTCATCTCTTACCTCATTGAAGAGTTCTTGCGGGGCTCAGAGTGAAGTCTCCGATTTGGCACACACAGGGGCGAGGCCACAGCCCGGGGCATAGTTTTGGGGGTCATTGGTGGAAGACCAGAGAAGCGCCGGCTGGTGGCTGTGGGCAAGGCTGACGCACGCCGTGTGCTCAACAGGCTTTGTGGTGCTGGCCCACGTGAGCATCTAACGGGGGTGCTGTGGACAGTGACCCTGGCAAACACAACATCAGTGTCAGAAGCTGAGATGACATAAAAAAGTAAAATGCAATCATTCAGCCTGTGCTAATGCAGTGCTGAGTGCTATGGTCTCAGCCCAGAAGAGCCAAGCCAGCGAGCCTGTGTGAGCTCTGCTCTCCTGGGACGAGCTGCTACCAACCCACCCTAGCGTGGGCTTCCGGCTCCCAGTGGGAATGCCTTCACCACCGTTCCTCACAGGCAACTCAAAGAAAACCGATCAAATGTGATCACACTTTACGGATGCTACCATTAAATGCTGCTTCACAGGAAGTTCAGAAGAGACTGAGCAAATCATGTTCTGGTGGTGTTACACATATTGCCATAAGAAGTCAGAGCCACAGCCTGTCTGGTGGGCCAGCAAATGGGGGAGCAGGTCTCGCTGCACGCCCACTCATGCCTAGGCTTAAGGTCACCTGAAAACTGTGAACACAAATGAGTGAAGAGCGAGCTGGGCACTTGGTCCTCATGTACTCTCACATCCCCAGCAATACCTGTGGCTGGGGCTACCCATGGATCTTTCCTAACTGTTGCTTTCTTATGTTGCTGTTGATGAAGAAGAGGCTGAGTCAACTGTCATTTGCTGTGGACTGAAGGTCTGTGTCCCCCAGATTCATGTGCTGAAATCCTAGCCCCTAAGGTGATGGCATTAGGAGGTGGGGCTTTAGGAGGACATTAGGTCATGGAGGCAGAGCCCCCAGGAATGGAATCCATGTCCTTATAAAAGAGGGCACACTGGCGCATACCTGTGGTCCCAGCTACTCAGGAAGCTGGGGTGTGAGAATCACCTGAACCTAGGAGGTAGAGGCTACAGTGAGCCATGACTGCACCACTGCACTCCAGGCTGGGCAACAGAGCAAGACCCTGTCTCAAAAAAATAAATAACCATAAAAGCAACTTGTTCACCCCTCCCCCAGTGAGGACAGAGAGAAGGTGGCACCTGTGAATCAGGAAACACGCCCTCACCAGACATCAAATCTGTAAGTGCCACAATCGTGGATTTCCAGCCTCCAGAACTGTGAGAAGCAAATGTCTGTTCAAGCCGCCCAGTCTATATAGAGTGTTTGTTATAGTAGCCCAAAGGCACAGAGATGTTATTTTATTTTATTTATTTATTTATTTTTCTTTTTTTGAGACAGAGTTTCGCTCTTGTTACCCCAGCTGGAGTGCAATGGCGCGATCTCGGCTCACCGCCACCTCTGCCTCCTGGATTCAAGCAATTCTCCTGCCTTAGCCTCCTGAGTAGCTGGGATTACAGGCACGCGCCACCATGCCCAGCTAATTTTTGTATTTTTAGTAGAGACAGGGTTTCACCATGTTGACCAGATGGTCTCGATCTCTTGACCTTGTGATCCACCCGCCTCGGCCTCCCAAGGTGCTGGGATTACAGGCGTGAGCCACTGCGCCTGGCCTAGAGACGTTATTTTAAAATAAAACGAGTCAAGGACATCCCACTGCCATGGCACCCACAGGAGGTCGCTGAGACCTGTCCATTGCTCGATTCTGGGAAATTGTTATGTTCTTCAAAAGGAGCCTGAAAACATCAGACTGACTCTAGCCTATTTTTTTTTTTTTTTTGAGACAGAATCTTGCTCTGTTGCCCAGGCATGAGTGCAATGGTGTGATCTCAGCTCACCACAACCTCCACCTGCCAGGTTCAAGTGATTCTCCTGCCTCAGCCTCCCGAGTAGGTGGGGTTACAGGTGCATGCTATGATGCCCAGCTAATTTTGTATTTTTAGTAGAGACAGGGTTTCACCATGTTAGTTAGGCTGGTCTCGAACTCCTGACCTCATGACCCACTCTCCTCGGTCTCCCAAAGTGCTGGGATTACAGGCGTGAGCCACCAGTGCCTGGGCTACTATAGCCTATTTAAATGGAAAAAAAAAAAAAAAAAAAAAAAGGCAAAGAGCCTGAAATCAACAGAGAAACAATCACTCCAGAAAGCACCCGCAGGAGGGAGGGTGCTGTTCACTCAAGCTGCTATTCTCTGTGAAGTTCTGGGATCCCCAGCCTACTACATTTATTGCTAAGTTCTGGCAGCCTCACCATAAATTCGAGTGAAAATAAAAATTCTGACAAATGTAATTCTCAAAGTTAACCTGGGTGAGGTGAGGAAACTGAGGCACGGCGAGGCAACTGAGGTGGCCAGTGGCGGCCTGGCTATGGTCTTTGCTCTTCACCACCACCATAGGAGGGATGGCAGCTTAGCACAACGCCACATGCAGATGAGGGACCGAACTGGTCCGACCTCACAAAGCATGTTCTTAGCTCACATGGGAGGAAACTAAAGTTCAGAGCCATCAGAAGACTTGCAAACGGCCCCAGGCTGGTCTGCAGCTGAGCCAGCAGCACCCTCTCTGGTGTTCTAGCCCAGCCTTACTCTGCCCACTTCACCCCAGCGAGGTCCAGAGCAGTGCCCGCCTGGCCACATGCTGGCGTCAGGACCCCACGCTGGTCTGGGGGGTCTGAGTGTCCTTCCTGCTGCCCACACCCCAGCTCCACCCAGGCTACAGGGCGCCAGTGCGAGCTCTCCTGTGCTGAGCCGGTGTCCGCAGAGCTGCACTGGGCGCTGGGACGGTGGTGGCGGGGGCTGCCGCTGAGCAACTCCTGCTCCGGCCTTGGCAGCACATGCCTGTGCGTATTTGCACATTTTCTTTCTTTCTTTTTTTTTTTTTTTTTTTTGAGGAGTCTTGCTCTGCCATCAGGCTGGAGTGCAGTGGCATGATCTCAACTCACTGCAACCTCCGCCTCCCAGGTTGAAGCGTTTCTCCTGCGTCAGCCTCCTGAGTAGCTGGGACTACAGGTGCGCGCCACCATGCCTGGCTAATTGTATTTTTAGTAGAGATGGGATTTCAGCTTGTTGGCCGGGATGGTCTTGATCTCTTGACCTCATGATTTGCCTGCCTCAGCCTCCCAAAGTGCTGGGATTACAGGCATGAGCCACCATGTCCGGCTGCATGTGCACATTTTCTTACTGTCTGTGGCATCTGCTATGCTGAGCTTGGGCCATCCTTACCTGACATGAGGAAAAAGGTCAGGAACGTTTGGGAACTTATACTGACTCAAAGAAGAGGAAGTGGTGAAGCTGGGTCAGAATCACTGTGCCGTGCCAGTGCTCTTCAACTGTGCCACAAGTCAGTCACCTGGGAGCTTGAGAAAATCAAGCTGCTGGACTCCAGCCTAGACCAACTGAGTCAGAACCCCTGGGGTGGGCTGGGCACGGGCGGTCCTGAGAGCGCCGAAGGGGCTTCGCTGTGCAGCCTGGCGTGGCAACCACACCAGTCCAGGGCTAGGAGCCGCTGCACTGCACGGAAGTCTCAGATGTCTTAAGTCCGCAGTAGATCTAAAAGGGGCTGGCACACATCAGGAGCTCACCCTGCACTGAACAGACTGGCACTTGAAGCCAGACACGCAGGCCAGGCTGCAGGGTTACCAAATGCTAGGTCAGCAGACGCATGAGTCACCCTACAGCAATGAAGAGAGGAAGCAGACCGACCTCACTCACCTGCCAGCTGACGAGCATGACTGCGGCCGCTGTGTCCGAGAGAGCTTTGGTGTGGCCCCGTCTGGGGAGTCACCTAAGACCAAGAAAGGAAGTGTGCAGTCAGGCAGAGATCGGGGGAGGCCTAGGGCTTAGGAATCTTCACCGAATGGGCAATTCTCCTCCAAGTATCTCCACTGTCCCAATTTTTTTTTTGAGACGGAGTTTCGCTCTTGTTACCCAGGCTGGAGTGCAATGGCGCGATCTCGGCTCACCGCAACCTCCGCCTCCTGGGTTCAGGCAATTCTCCTGCCTCAGCCTCCTGAGTTGCTGGGATTACAGGCACGCGCCACCATGCCCAGCTAATTTTTTGTATTTTTAGTAGAGACGGGGTTTCACCATGTTGACCAGGATGGTCTCGATCTCTCGACCTCGTGATCCACCCGCCTCGGCCTCCCAAAGTGCTGGGATTACAGGCTTGAGCCACCGCACCCGGCCTCTCCTGTTCTTTTCTCTTTGAGATAGAGTCTCACTCTGTCACCCAGGCTAGAGTGCAGTAGCACGATTTTGGCTAACTGCCACCTCCACCTCCTGGGTTCAAGCGATTCTCTTGTCTCAGCCTCCTGAGTAGCTGGAATTACAGGTGCATGCCACCACCAGGCCCGGCTATTTTTTGAGACGAGGTTTCACCATGTTGGCCAGCTGGTCTTCAACCCTGATCGCAATTGATCACCCTGTCTTGGCCTCCCAAAGTGCTGGGATTACAGTCATGAGCCACCTCCCCAGCCTCTCCTATTCTTTTAAAAATCACCTCTATCAAAGTGATTCATGCACAGTTTTTAAAATGAAGGTTAAAGTTTTATGAGACAAACAAGCCTCCTGCCACACCCAGCCCTGTTTCCAACTTCCAGCTTGCTGGCAGCTTCCTACCATGGCTACCTTCACACATTTCTAAATCACACACCCACACTGCTACCTCTGCATTCTTCAAAAACTGTTTGTTACAAGAGTGAAGAACCTCCCCATCAACGCCTCCCACTGCCCCGACTTGTGTGTTCACCAGGCCTCCAGTGTTCACCCCAGCACTGGAGACGCAGCTCGCTCGCAGCTGAGCCAAACGTGCTCCCACCGTCTCCCCACCTCCGTTTCCCGTTTGTTTTTTCTTGTTTGTTCTTGCTCTGTCACCCAGGCTGGAGTGCAGTGGCATGATCACAGCTCAGCGAAGCAGTGAACTCCTGGGCTGAAGCAATCCTCCTGCCTCAGCCTCCCAAGTAGTTGGGACTACAGGTATGCAGCACCATGCCCGGCTAAATTTTTTTTGCAAATTGTTTTGTAGAATCAATTAGCAGAAGTCCTGTGGCGTCAGGCAGCCCAACAGCCAGGACACGGGCCAACAACCGTGCAAATGTGGTCAGCAGAGACATGGTAGATGCACGTCCTGGCTCCAGGCATTCAGGCTGACGGAGGCAAACACTACTGACCGCTCCTCCACATGGCCTGGGCCGGCAGGGATGGCCCTGCCGAACCCACCCAGTCACAGCTCCTGTTTCTCTTCTTCTGTTGTTGAGACGGTCTTGCTCTATTGCCCAGGCTGGAGTGCAGTGGCATGATCTTGGCTCATTGCAACCTCCACCTCCTGGCTCAAGTGATTCTCCTGCCTCAACTTCCCCAGTAGCTGGGATTACAGGCACCTGCTACCACACCTGGCTAATTTCTGTATTTTTAGTAGGGACAGGGTTTCACCATGTTAACCAGGCTGGTCTCAAACTCCTGACCTCAGGTGATCCACCTGCCTCAGCCTCCCAAAGTGCTGGGATTACAGGCGTAAGCCACCGCGCCCAGACCACAGCTCCCGTCTCTGCAAACTCAGCTCTCTGCTGTTGAAACCTACACTTGTCTCCAGCTGTGGCTTCTCCCCTGAGCTCACAGCCTGCTCCGCCCTACAACTGCAGCCCAGGTGGGGCCTGGACTCTGCCCTCTGCCCTCCTATCACAAGAGCAGTAGCACCCAGGTTCCCACCAGAACCTCAGGGCCACTCCAGTCCCTCTCCACAGTCCCACATGGGCCCTAAGCTACTAGAACGTCAGGCAGACCAGAGCGCCCCGGCCTCCTCCCCAGACAGTGAGGCGAAGTCCGCATTGCCCTCAACACCTCGCTCCTGTCCAGAGACTCTGCTCTTCCCTCCGCAGAAGGAGCTTCTGAAGGTCAGGCCGCACTGCTCAAACCCCTTGCACGCAGCATCCTCCTGCACTGACGCTACTCCAGGGACCGCTCTGGTCACGGGGCGCTCTGCGAGCCAGCCTTGGGCTGCCCGTGTCTTCATCTCTCCTTATCCTGCCCCTCAGTCAGTGACTGCGTTTGCCAGTTTTTGTTCAACAGCTACTTTCCTCTTCTTCTCAGTAAGAAATTTCAGCGGGTGAGGAATAAAGACAATGTATCCTAGCATCCTGGGCAGGGAGGCATGGTGATCAACAGGACATCAATGCAGTGACAAGGACAACTTGCAGTGAGAGTCCTTGACAGGTGGGGATTTGCTCTTCACCTGAACGGGCTTCCTGCCGGGAGGAGTGCAGCCACACTAGGCCAGGACGATGACACGTTCGTCACGGCAACACAGGAAGCGGGAAGCCTGGGTGGCTCACACCGAGGAGTACCGACCAGCTCTGGCACGTCTACGCGGAATCTAGTCCTGAGCACAGCGGCTGCGCTCCCGCCGCTCCAGCCCCTAAGCTGCTCCCAGAGCCTGCCATGCGCCTTCATGCCCCACGCCCTCTGCACTTGCCGTCGCTTCTGCCTGGAGTGCCCCCCTCGAGCTTTCCTACCACTCCCTCATTCTCCTGGTTCAGATCCCAGTCCCGGGTCACCTCCTGAACATCTTCGCCAAACAACCACCCGAGGAAAATTCCTCTCCAAACACGCCAGCCCCAGGACACCATCTTCTCTCGGTTGCTACGTTATACTAGGATCCGAAGGCCTGCTTATCTGATAACATTTCATGTCTTTTCCTATTCAACAGAAATTCCATGAGCACAGGTCTGTCTTCTCATGATGTCCCTTGTTCCCCAAAGCATTCCAGCTCAGAGAAGACACTTAGCAGAACAGCTTGTTCCTACAGCAGACCTCAGAATGCCTGTACCGGCCGGCACAGAACTTAACATTCTCAAGCACCCAGAGGGCAGATCTACTTGACAGAGGAGACCAGGATGCTCCTCTCACCTTAAGTCAGCTCTGAGAACTTTCTGCACTGCACACAATTGAGTAGTTCATGAAAACTTTACAAACACCCTCCCCCGTACCACTGGCCAGACCCCTGCTGGGGCCGGTGGCCTCACTGACTGGAGAAGGCAGTGCTAGAGCTCAGGAGGCTGAGGAGGCTGGAATCTGAGGGCCTGAAACTAGAGGAGGGGCCACTCCGACAGAATGAACTCCAGGAACCCAAGGGGAGTCTCGAGGCTCTGGCGGAGCACCAGGCAGTGCACGGGCGCAGGGCGGGACTCCACAGGTCAAGCAAAGAGCAACTACCAGGGAGCAACGAGCAGAGCTCGCAGGGTGGAGAAGCTGCCATCCTACGGCAGCCAGAGCGCAGGGGCCTCACGGGACACTCGGGCCTGCAGCAGAGACCTCGGAAAGGCCGACGGTGGCAGGAGGCGGAACCACCCCAAGGGAGAGGCTATTCTAGACCCACTCCTTCAAAGCACAAAAAGCAGCCTCAAACAGATGATCTGCAATTTAACTGCCCGCCAAGCCCAACCCAACTCCTCAGAGAAAGACGACAAAATCCAGACATTCAAAAGTGTAAACCTGACAATATCCAGAAACCAAGAAAAACCCGTGAAAATGTCGAGGCTGGAAAATGAGGCCAAAACCAGGAAACAAAATTAGTCAACAGAAACAGACTCCAAGCTGGGCGCGGTGGCTCACGCCTGTAATCCCAGCACTTTGGGAGGCCGAGGCGGGTGGATCACGAGGTCGAGAGATCGAGACCATCCTGGTCAACATGGTGAAACCCCGTCTCTACTAAAAATACAAAAAACTAGCTGGGCATGGTGGCACGTGCCTGTAATCCCAGCTACTCAGGAGGCTGAGGCAGGAGAATTGCCTGAACCCAGGAGGCGGAGGTTGCGGTGAGCCAAGATCGCACCATCGCACTCCAGCCCGGGTAACAAGAGGGAAACTCCGTCTCAAAAAAAAAAAAAAAAAGAAACAGACCCCAAAACGATGGGGAAGATGGTACGAGAAGAACCGCAGACCTTAAAACAACCATGAGTAATTTGCTCACGAGGATCTAAAGGAAAACCTAAGTACCATGAAGAGAAATAAGGGGAAAATACGTTAGAAACGAAAAGTTAACTCGATGGGTTTCACAGTTATTAGGCACTGCAGCAGAGATGGTATCTGACAACAGAAACTACCCAAACCACAACTCAATAAAAAAGGCTGGGCCAGGCACGGTGGCTCACGCCTGTAATCCCAGCACTCTGTGAGGCCAAGGGGGATGGATCACTTGAGGTCAGGAGTTCGAGACCAGCCAACATGATGGAACCCTGTCTCTACTAAAAACGCAAAAAATATTAGCTGGCTCTGGTGGCGCAGGCCTGTAATCTCAGCTACTCAGGAGGCTGAGGCAGGAGAATTGCCTGAACTCAGGAGGCAGAGGGTGCGGTGCCTGAGATGGCGCCACTGCACTCCAGCCTGGGTGACAGAGCGAGACTCTGTCTCAAAAAGAAAAAAAAAAAAAAAGGCTGAAATAAAAACAGATCAGAGCTTCAGTGACCTGTAAGACAACATCAAGAGGCCTGAAATAAATGTGATTAAAGTCTCAGGAAATAGATAAGAAAAAGATATCTGAAGAAATAATGGCCAACCTTTTCGAAATCTGATGAAAACCATCAACCCACAGATCAAAGAAGCCTAAGAAGCCCCCAGCAGGATAAACCCAAAAGAAGCCACCTCAAAGCACGTAATCATCAAACTGCTGATAGTAACAATGAGATAACCTTAAAAGCAGCCTAAGAGCACCCGGGGAACGCACGTATAAGACATTCTGGGAGGCTCTACGGACACCCTGAAGACAATGTGGGCAAGAAGACAGTGGGTCACACCCGAAAGCACTGTTGGAGGGAAGAGCTAAAAACACCATCACTGCAATCAATACTTGTTTAAAATTTTAAATGGAAGTTCTGCAATATTTTAAAGACACATTAAAATGTATCTATTACTTGGCCCGGCGTGGTGGCTCATGCCTGTAATCCCAGCACTTTGGGAGGCTGAGGCGGGTGGATCATGAGGTCAGGAGATGGAGACCATCCTGGCCAACATGATGAAACGTGGTCTCTACTAAAAATATAAAAATTAGCTGGGGTGGTGGCACATGCCTGTAATCCCAACCATTCGGGAGACTGAGGAAGGAGAATCGTTTGAACCAGGGAGTCGGAGGTTGCAGTGAGCTGAGATCACACCATTGCACTCCAGCCTGGCGACAGGGGGAGACTGTTTAAGGAAAAAAAATATATATATATATATATTACTCACCTAGAGAAAACTTAGGAATTTTAAATTGATTTGCAGGAGTAGGCATAACCTTTGTCTTGGAATTTAGATCGGAATCTCGCCATCTTATACTTCTGGTTTTATTCAGTTGAGAAGATTCTGACAAGGTGGAACTGGAGTTCGGGCATTGGCCTTCACCCTCCGGAGTCTGGGGGTGGGTGAGGGATGCGGACAGGGGCACCATGGGCTGCTCCACTGCCAGCTCAGAAACGCTGGCTCCCTTGGCTTGCTGGGAGGATGCCCCCACAGGGCCTGCAGGCAGAGCCGGCCCCAGCACAGTGGGTCCCATTCTGCCTGACTTGCTGATGTTTGACAGAGGCCGGGAGCTGTTTGCAGAAATACTTGCAAATTCACTTGATTTAGCTAGAAGGGTATATACACAAAATCACGTTATTTTACGCTATTTAACACACACACAAGTTACGCTGTCTTTAGCATCCCTACCTTAAACATATGACACATCAACAACATTCTACAGGACCACCAGGTAACATCATCAAACAAAGGACAGCCCAGAGAGCTTGTAGCTTAACTGAGTGTATTCTAAGGTACTTATTCTCAACGCAGTTACTAACATGCACATAAGCATGCATAAATTTGAGCTCTCCTATCTTCATTGATGATGCTGGCAGGAGAAGTCTATACTAGTTGAGCAGATGGAAGGGACAGTCTAGTCACATGTCTCACCTGTCTGGTCATGGAGGTGGGCAGGGAACAGGGAAAAAAGATGCAATTGTTACTGGTTGATTCCTTTAAAATTACAAGGAGGCTGGGTAATATTAACCATAAGCACTATTTAAAATAGAAAACCAGATAAACTAGGGTAATAAATACTCAGCTACCAATATAGTCAGACGATCTGGTAAAGGATTCTTAAAGAAAACTTTAGGGCCAGGTGTGGTGGCTCACACCTACAATCCAAACACTTTGGGAGGCCAAGGCGGGCGGATCACTCCAGGCCAGGAGTTTGAGACCAGCCTCGCCAACATAATGAGACCCTCTACAAAAAAACACAAAAATTAGTCGGGCGTGGTGGCGTGTGCCTATAGTCCAGCTACTCAGGAGGCAGAGATGGGAAGATCACTTGAAACTAGGAGGCTGAGGCTGCAGGAAGCTGTGATCACGCCACTGCAGTACAGTCTGGGTAACAGAGCAAGACTCTGTCTCAAAATAAATAAAGAGGCCAGGCACAGTGGCTCATGCCTGTAATCCCAGCACCTTGGGGGGGCGCCAACTAAGGTGGGCAGATCATGAGGTCAGGAGATCGAGACCATCCTGGCCAACATGGTGAAACCCCACCTCTACTAAAATACAAAAAATTAGCTGGGTGTGGTGGCATGTGCCTGTAGTCCCAGCTACTCAGGAGGCTGAGGCAGGGGAAGTGCTTGAACTTCAGAGGTGGAGGATGCAGTGAGCTGAGATTGCAACACTGTACTCCAGCCTGGGTTACAGAGTGAGACTCCATCTCAAAAAAAGGAAGTATGAACTCTAGAATCGGATTGAGCTGTTCTGGAGTCCTGACTCTGCCATTCTGTGATTAAGAGAGGTTTGTGTCATTATCTTTATAGACTGAGGTGACGACAGCTACCTTGCATGCTCTCGTGAGCGTTAGATGTGCTATGTAGGGTCCCGGGCACGTGGCACGTGCCAATAGTGGGAGCTCTGTCCTGTCACATTAGGCGTTATTAGATGTCCTGCATGGGACACCTGCCACCATGCCTGGCTAGTCTTTGTGTTTTTAGTAGGGATGGGGCTTCACCATGTTGCCCAGGGACTCCAGGGCTCAAGCGATCCACCTGCCTCAGCGTCCCAAAGTGCTGGGACTACAGGCGTGAGCCACTGTTCCCAGCTCACGTTTTACATTTCGTGATCACCATCCACACCATGCTGCCCTGAACTACCCTGAGAGTCCACACGGCCAGTGCATCTCAAAGAGGATTTCGCACTGAAAAGCAGAATGGCAAAGGCCTTTCCCTTACCACTAGATGGCAGCCGTTGCTTGGCAAGATTGAAATGCAACCAGACCTCAAAGTGTGGGAGCATGGATTTAAATAGGCACCTGGGAATTATGGGGGCCACACATCCTAAATTATCTGGAATAGTCCTATTTTAAAACTAGTATCTGAGGCCGGGCATGATGGCTCACGCCTGTAATGCCAGCACTTTGGGAGGCCGAGGTGGGTGGATCACCTGAGGTGAGGAGTTGGAGACCAGCCTGACCAACATGGAGAAATCCCATCTCTACTAAAAATACACAATTAGCCGGGCATGGTGGTACACGCCTGTAATCCCAGCTACTCGGGAGGCTGAGGCAGGAGAATCGCTTAAACCCAGGAGGTGGAGGCTGCAGTGAGCCGAGCTCGCACCACTGCACTCCAGGCTGGGCAATAAGAGCGAAACTGTCTCAAAACAAACAAACAAAACTGGTGTCTGATGACACTGACGTGAGACTGACTCCAGCATCCTTCTGTGTTCTCAGGCATGGGGTATCATACACTTTCTGATCACGTGTACCCCTTAGACTGAAGCCGCCCATCTGAGTGTGCCCTCCTCGGGTGCTGAGGGTGCGCTGAGGGCAGGCACAGCAACTCAGCCCACAGCCCGGTCCACCGCACACAGCACGTCCTGCCGAGCCTAAGTGGTTCGTACAAACGGTCTCGAGGCATGAGCAGCACTCGAGGCCTCACCTGGCCAGATGTGGGTCCAAGCACGATGCCGGCTGCCTACCTTTGCCCGCTGCTGGGGATGTGCACACACTGGGCGCCCCGCTCCGAACAGGCCCTGAGGAGGACTTCCTTGCGAGACTGCTGGTAGAGCCGGGTGGTTTTAACAGGCTCTTCTTCAGCCCCAACTGGGACAAAACATGAAAAAACGCAATCAGCAAAGATCTAATTATTTACCTATTATTTACATCTGCAAAAGTAGGGGTTTCAGTATTTTTAAATAAGCTCATATTATCATCTTGAACTGAGAGAAGGGAAAAGTCAAGCAGCACTTCTCGAGGTACAGTCCTCAAAGCCCTGCGTGAGGAGCATGTTAGCGAGCTAGCGGAAACGCAGACTGCAGCGCCCAGCCTTGGGCAGTTTTAACGAGAACTGCCAGCACTCTTACACAGCTCAGTTTGACCACCAATGCCACAAAGGAAGTGGCAAAGGTGGGGCTGGTAGTCTCCATGCCTGTGAGAACTGCAGTTTTCTTTTTTTTCCTCTCAGACAGGGCCTTCTCACTCTGTTGCCCAGGCTGAAATGCAGTGGCATGATGGCAGCCCACTGCAGCCTTGACCTCCTGGGTTCAAGCAATCATCCCACCTCAGCCTCCCAAGTTGCTGGGACTACAGGTGCACACCACCATGCCCAGCTCATTTTTGTATTTTTTGTAGTGATAGGTTTCATCATGTTGCTCAGGCTGGTCTCGAACTCTTGAGCTCAAGTTATCTGCCCACAGTGGCGTCCCAAAATGTTGGGATTATAGGTGTGAGCCGCTGATTTTAACCCAAAGATTTAATCCAAGGCACTTGAACACACAGCTGCCACCTCATTCCCAGCGACCCCAAGGCTGGGTCCCAGCAGCCCCGGCTGACTCACCTTGTTTGGAACGGGAATCGCCCGCCTGCCCTGGCCCGAGTGGCTTCCGGCGGCTGGCACACTGACGGCACCCAGGGCAGGTATGTCAGGGGGGACATCCCGGCGGAATTCCTTTTCAGCTGGGATTTTCGTCCTGGAAGGACCAGCTGGTATCTCTTTCTTGGGCTGAAAAATTTTGATTTGAACTGTGAGAACTGCCTGGTCTTTAGCAATGTACAGAGATACTAAGGCTTCAATTTAGAGCGAGCCCAGGCACCGTCTATCTTCCCAAATGCTACACAATCCTCCATTTATCAGCTAGATCGAAGGGAACAGAGCAAGCAGCTCACGTCCTCCACCAAATCACTATGGACAAAAGTGATGATGGATTTTGCTTCCTCATTAAAAACAGCGTCAAATGCTACCGAGGCAGATCATGAAGAGGAGAGAAGTCCTCTAGAGCTGTTCCCCAGTCAGGATCCTTATTTCAGAATGATAATGAGGAAGCTGGTCTAGTTAAACAAATTTTAAAATGCTGTACAGAAAGGACTCATCCATTAAATGGTCATCTCTACCAGAGAAGCTGCTCAATTGCAATAAATCTTCTTGGTCTAGTACTCACTGAAAGCCATTTTCTCTGGCCAGCAGAATCAAAGAATATATTCCTGACATATTTAGGGACAAGGGCATTCATGGAATTAATCCATGCTTCTACAAATAGCCCTCTTATAACAGGAGAGTTAGTAAGGTAACAGCAATAGAGGCTCAGAGTTGTAAACACACAGCAGTAAACTTTTCCCTTTACAGCATTTTTTAAAATGGAGATACTTCTTACAACGTAAAATTTGCTGTTTTAGACAGTACACTCCAGTAGTCTTCAGTAGATCTGTTATGTTGTACAACCAGCACAGGCTAATTTAAAAACACGTTTGTGTCCCTGAAAGAAACCTGCACCCATTAGCAGTTACTCCCTAGTCCCTCATCCTCCCCAGCCCTACCTGGGGAAGCACTCTACCACACCTATGTCATTCGCTTGTCATGGTCATTTCATATAAATGGAACCATACGACATGGGAACTTTTGTTATGGCCTCTTTCACTGAGCAAAATGATTCCAAGGGTCGTCGTGTGAAGCATGTATCACCACTGTGTTTCTGCTTTTCTTTTTGTGACCGAGTCTCGCTGTGTCACCCAGGCTGGAGTGCAGTGGCACCATCCTGGCTCACTGCAACCTCTGCCTCCCAGGTTCAAGCGATTCTCCTGCCTTAGCCTCCTGAGTAGATGGGATTACAGGCACATGCCACTATGCCTGGCTAATTTTTGTATTTTTTAGTAGAGACAGGGTTTCGCCATGTTGGCCAGGCTGGTAACAAACTCCTGACCTCAGGTGATTCACCCGCCTTGGCCCCCCAAAGTGCTGTGATTACAAGTGTGAGCCACCATGCCCAGCAGCGTTTCTTTTTATTGCCAAAAATAACCCACTGTCTGGCTAGACCCCATTTCCTTTACATGTTCATCATTTGCTAGATGCCGGGTGGGCCCTGCTTTTTGGCTATTATAAAAAATGCTGCTTTGAACATCTGCATGTGGCTTCTTCTGTGGATATGGTTTCAGTTCTCTCAAGTATGTATCAGGGAGTGGAGCTGCTAAGTCCCACGGCACCTCTACATTTAATTTTTTGAGGAGCTGCCAATCTGTTTCCCGCAACAGCTGCACCATTTCACAATCCTACCAGCAGCACATGAGGCGTCTTCCGTCCCGATATCCTCAACCTTTTCTTCATCCTCCACATCCTCATCCTCAAAAGAACACCTGCTATTTTCTTTTTCTTTCAGCCATCCTAGCAGTTGTCTTTAAAAGACCGTTTTAAACGGGCGTTACAATCGCATGGCCCACCCACTGACGACTCCTCACAGGAGTGAGCCTGTGCCATGGCCACTCTAGAAGCCAGTGACTCTCCCAGGGAAACAAGCAGGAAGTGGCGGGGCGCCCCACGCATGTCGGACTGCATCTCAGCTGTGCAGACAGCACCTCACCCACTGGGAACAAGCTCTGTGGACCCCGGTTCACCACCCAGGACCAGGAGACCAAAGGAGACACTTCGATGGCCCTGGAGCAGCCCAGATCACACCACCTCTCTGCCCCAAGTCCATGCATGCTACATGCACAATCCCATCCTGAGTCCACCCGTGCCCCACACAGCAAGACCACTCCCACTCTCATTCTAGAAACATTGTGGTAGGAATGCACAACCCAAACGGGCTCCAAAAAAAGGGAGTTCGCAGGACCAAGGGACGGGCCCCAGCTATGTGGGCTGGCAGTGCTGCACACACCTCCTTGTTAAGGGCACCTCGGCTGGCTGCAATTCTTGGCTCCCACCACAGGGAGTTACGTGGCTTAGGAGATGGGCCTGGTGGGGGTAAAGGAATTTCTGGGCCCTTGCTGAGCATTCTGCATTTGCCTGCTCCTCCTAACAGCCCCACACAGGGTCACTCCTCTGTACGTGCTGCCCAGGTGAGGGGGCAGAGCTGGAAACAGGCCGCAGGGTGGGCCCCTGGGTGCCTAACTGCCCCACCCTCCTCTCTGCCACCTCTCCCACAGGAGGAGTAGCCTCCTCCTCCCGAGCAAGAGCCAGACAGGGCAGCTCTGGCAGCAGGCCCTGCGCTCACATCACCTTTCCCCAGACATCCAGGACCCTCGGTTTCCCAGAGTTGGCTGACTGCACCCAAAGGCACCCCTGTCAAGCGCCCCCTCCCAGGACAGCGCCCAGCACTTCACGCCCAGGAGGAATGCGAAGTAAGCTGAGCCACAGTCCAGGAGGCTGACGAGCGGCTATCGCAGAGGAGAGAGCGTGCTTGGAAGAGGCTGCTTGTTAAAGCAAATGAAATCCCTACTGTGTGATAGCTCCAGAATGATAACAAAACGAAAGGACCAACTTCAAACAGAATTGAGCAGGAAATATTAAGTCACCCCAACCCTACCCAAGCCACCCCCAAATCAGCTCCCTCTCAGCAGCCGCTGTTCCCAGACTGCACATTCCTGTGCTTTGGAGGCCTCGGAGCCTCGCCACCTCCGGGGTTTCCCCAGGTGCCTCTGTGACCGGGCAGAAACCAGGAGGGCTGAGAGGCAGGGAGTGGTGGCTCCCGGGCAGGCGCTCTGCTGCGGGCTTTTGCCTACCTTCTCGATGGCCCCGGGGATGCCACTTCCTCTAACAGACGCCACTCGAGGCAGCAGCAATTTGCTGCCAGGCTTCCTCTGAGTTGCTGCCTGACCCCGAGCAAGGGCAGTGCTTGATTCCCTGGGCAAGGCAGGAGCCGAGTGTGGGGGCCCCAGCGCCTGGGAGAGGGTGGCCTGGGCAGGAGCGCTGGGCAGGGCCGGGGAGGAGGCCAAGAGTCGGCGCTCGCCTGCAGGGGGGCCCAGCAAGGGGCTGTCTGACAGGTAGTACGTCTCCCTTTTAAGAGACGTGGGGCTTTTCTTCATATCCTTGTCTTTCTCAAAGAGGTTGATTTTTAATGTTGACTCCTGTATGAATCTTTCCGCTCCCTGGCTCTGAGGCTCTTGGGGCTTGGCAGCGTGGGCCGCCTGGTTCCGGCTGCTGCTCTCTATCTGTAAAGCCAGTAAGCGAGCTTCTTTGTACACTTCCACGAACTTCTCCCCGGCCAGAGGGCTCCAGGCGAAGGGACTCTCAGATGCAGGCAAAGGAGGCTGGTTGGTGGCCGGATTATTTAATTCCAAACTGGCAGCAATGCATCTTTCTTTATGTCCAACGGGTCCAAAGAACACTTCATCATCTTCGTTTGCACTGTTTTTTTAAAAAAGAATTATTAATGACTCATAACATTGGCATTTAAAGGAAAGACTTTACTGAACGTGGCTATGCCCAAGGCAAGGGAATAAAACTCATTTGTTTACCTTGAAGAAGACAACGAAAGATCGAAGTCAAATTTTTCATCGGCCAAAAGAAGAACGTCTAGGGAAAAAAATCCAGTGTTATTTTAGTGCTGCAGCTACTAAAGAGAAAAATATTACCAGTTTCTATAGCTTGGAATTAAATAAAGATACTGCGAAATTTCACCCCCTGCAAAGTGTATCCCGTCACTATGCTAAGTTAGTTATATTTTCATAGGGGCCACTGAGTTATATTTTTTCCCTTTTTTCTTTTTAAAAGATTTTCAAATATTTTCTAGTAATGAACTCTCACTATGTTGGCCAGGCTGTCCTCGAACTCCAGGCCTCAAGTGATCCTCCTGGCATGGCCTCCCAAAGTGTTGGGGTTACAGGCATGAGCCACCACACCTGGCCAGTTTCCTTTTTAGAAACTGCATCAGCCATTCTATGTTCATGAAGCCACCCAAAAGCTTAGGTTCTTACTTATTTTTTTTTTTTTTTTTTGAGACAGAGTCTTGCTCTCTTACCCAGGCTGGAGTGAGGTGGTACCATCTTGGCTCACCGTAACCTCCACCTCCCAGGTTCAAGCGATCCTCTTGCCTCAGCCTCCCGAGTAGCTGGGGCTACAAGCATGCGCCATCATGCCTGGCTGATTTTTGTATTTTTAGTAGAGAAGGGGTTTCACCATGTGGGTCAAGCTGGTCTCAAACTGCTGACCTTGTGATCTACCCACCTCGGTCTCCCAAAGTGCTGGGATTACAGGCATGAGCCACTGTGCCCAGCCAGGTCCTTGCTTTTTTTTTTTTTTTTGAGACGGAGTTTTGCTCTTGTTGCCCAGGCTGGAGTGCGATGGCACAATCTCGGCTCACCACAAACTCTGCCTCCCAGATTCAAGCAATTCTGCCTCAGCCTAGAGAGTAGCTGGGATTACAGGCATGCACCACCACGCCTAACTAATTTTGTATTTTTAGTAGAGATGGGGTTTCTCCATGTTGGTTAGGCTGGTCTCAAACTCCCAACCTCAGGTGATCCACCCGCCTTGGCCTCCCAAAGTGCTGGGATTACAGGCATGAGCCACTGTGCCCAGCCAGGTCCTTACTTTTGAGATACAATCTAAAATGCATTCCCTGATTCATTCAACCATCTTTTCAAGAAAAGAAGTCATTTTCCAGGTATAGAACATTTTCAAAAGACCACCCGCCTCAGATCCCCTAGAATTAAATTCCCTTCTTACCGTTACCAAACACCTCTTCATCATTCGACAGCGAAGGTAATATTATTCAAACGCACAGTAGGGGCTCAATAAGAATTTGTTGACTGCCATTGCTTCTTAGAGTCCTTCCTGACTGAACCCTCAGATAAAATGTACTCTCTACCCCACCGCATCCATAATTCTATCATACCTGGCATGGCCCTGTCTGCGCAGGTTCCTCTAAAACAGATCACAGGCTCCAGGTGAGTAGGTCCCTCTGCAGGGGCACCTGCTCCCTCCTCCACCTCCCCTCAAGGCTCCCACAACGCCTCAACCTTACTTTTACCACTGTACTAGCCTCTGTGAATGCCTCTTGATCCTTCTATGGCCCCAACTAGACTATAAGCTCCTCTAAGATGACAGTATCTAACACTAACCCAAAATCCCAAATGTCCAACTAAGGGTCTGGACACTTAGCAAATATTTATCAAAATTCACTGAAATACAGTATTTACTCAGTACTGTAAAACTTATAAAGCTCTCTCACAAATGTTTTCATCTTAATAAACAATGTAGGCTGGGTGCAGTGGCTCACGTCTATAATCCCAGCACTTTGGGAGGCTGAGGCGGGCAGATCACTTGAGGCCAGGAGTTCAAGACCAGCCTGGCCAACGTGACAAAATCCCGTCTCAACTAAAAATAAATAAATTATCTGGGCATGGTGGTGCGCGCCTGTAATCCCAGCTACTGGGGAGGCTGAGGCATGAGAATCACTTGAAGCCAGAAGGCAGAGGTTGCAGTGAGCCAAGATTGAACCACTGCACTCCAGCCTGGGCGAGAGAGTGAGACTCTGTCTCAAAAAAACAAAAGCAACATAGTTTGCTTCTCAAAAATTATAAAATTTGAGAATATCCTAATATCCTAATTTGGTCTTAATTACCTAATCAGGAAGAAGTTAGAACAAATGCACAAGAGAAAGAAAAGAGAATAATCGCAAAGAGGGAAGGAGAAGATCCAAAAGCACATCTGTCAACTTCATGCACACAGACCCAAGAACCTGGCTGCAAGGGACAATTTTCTAGGAAAATATAATTTCATTTATTCTTTTTATTTTTTGAGATGGAGTCCCACTCTGTCACCAAGGCTGGAGTAGTGGCATGATTTCAGCTCACTGCAACCTCTGCCTTCTGGGTTCAAGTGATTCTTATGCCTCAGCCTCCGAGTAGCTGGGATTTCAGGTGCCTGCCACCACACCCAGCTAATTTTTGTATTTTTAGTAGATACGGGATTTTGCCATGTTGGGCAGGCTGGTCTTGAACTCCTGACCTCAAGTCCATCTGCCCGCCTTGGCCTCCCCAAGTGCTGGCATTACAGACATGAGCCACTGTGCCCAGCCCCCATTTACTTATTTAAATTATTAAATGCATTTGTTTATAAAACTGACTCCAGAAGAGAGGGAAGTCTTAATACCTCAATAATCATAAAATAACTGAAGAAATTTATTAAAGAGCTATCCTCTTCAAAAAAGCACAAGCCCCTAGTAGTTTCATAGAATAATTGTATCAAAACATTAAAGAACAAATAATTCCAATACTATTTACATCACTCAAGAAGATAGAAAAAAATAAACTTTCCAACTGAGTTCCATGAGGGCAAGCCTGTTACCGAAAACTTACAAAGTGATCAGTGAAGAAAGTAAAGACCAGCCTTACTTGTATCGGCATCATAATCTTTTTCTTTCTGAGGCAGGGTCTTGCTCTCTCATCCAGGCTGGAGTACAGTGGTGCAATCATAGCTCACTGCAGCCTCGAACTGCTAGACTCAAGGGATCCTCCTGACTCAGCCTCCCAAGTAGCTGGGACTACAGGCACGCACCACCATGCCCACCTAATACTTGTATTTTTTGTAGAGACGGGGTCTCCTCACGTTGCCCCGGATGGTCTCAAGCGTTCCTCCTACCTTGGCCTCCCTAAGTGCTGGGATTACAGGCATGAGCTACCACACCTGCCCTAACACAAAAATCTTTAACAAAAATACCAGCAAAAAAGAATCCTACAACACATTAAAGTGATAATAATATAATAGGACCAAGCTCACTTCATTTCAGGACTGTCAGATGGTTTCATTTCACACAATCTACTCATATAATCATTTTATTACTAGAGCTAAAGAGAAAACCATGATTGTCTCCACATATGTTGAACAGGCATATGATAAAACACAACATACATTCTTGATTTTAGAGACTCTTAATAAAAAGCAATAGATATATTACATCATGTAAGGAAATACCCATCTCAACCCAAAGCCAACATTAGGTTCCATGGGGTAACATCAGACGTATTCCTTCTAAAGACAGGAACAAATTGATCTGATTGGTTAGGACAGGCTAACATGCTGAAGTAGCAACGCTTTAAGCTTAAGTGGCTTAAAACAACAAAGGTGGGCTGGTGATGGTGGCTCATGCCTGTAATCCCAGCACTCTGGGAGGCCAGGAGGATCACTGAGGCCAGGAGTTCAAGACCAGCCCCTGCCAACACAGCGAGGCCCTGTCTCTACAAAAAGAAAAAAAAATTAGCGGGGTATGGTGGCATATACCTGTAGTCCCAGCTACTCAGAATGCTGAGCCCAGGAGCTCAAGGCTGCAGTGAGCTATGATCAAGCCACTGCACTCAAGCCTGGGCAACAGAGTGAGACACTGACTGAAAACAACAAAAAAACCACCACAAAGCCCTATCTCTCACTCAAACTATACGTCTGCAGAGGGGTAGACTGGGGCCCTGCTCCCTGGCCACCTCACTGCAAGAACCCCAGATGATGGAGTCCCCACCATCAGGAAAAGAACACATTCCATAGTGGTTTTTAAAGATTTCCACCCAGAAATGACACACATGACCACATTCCTGTTTCACTAGCCAAGTGAGTCACCTAATGTCAAATGAAGAGGGAGCACAATTCCATTACATGCCCAGAAGACAAACACATAGAAATACTCATGAACAGCACTGATGACTACATTTACATGGAAATTAACACAGAACCCAGTATCAGACTTAATGAAAAACCACAGAAGCAATTCCATTAAAGCCAGGCATGTGGCAATGGCATCTCCACGCACAATTCTTAACACTGTTCTAGACACAGCAACGGAATCAGATAAAGGAGGGAACGTGAAGGTAAAAGTATCACAGTGCACAGATGCCATGAGTATAGACACAAGAAACAAATCAAGAAAACCAACTGAAAACTACTAAGTCGTAAAAGGATAAAAGAACATGGCTAAGGACAAAATCGTTACAGAGCAGTAAACAGCTTTCCTATCTACAAAGAACAGAGGAGATATCATGGAAGAAAAGATTTCGTTTCTAGCACCAACACAAGATGCAAAATAACGATAAATCTAACAAGAAAGATGCCAAATGCATATAAAGAAGACTTGGTATATCATAAAAGTAACGTATCAAATAAAAAAGTGCAAAAATGGTATTGAAATAAACTCCATAATCATCTGGAAAAAAACAATTAAGTTTGTTCCATGACTCATACCACACCAGGCCAAATTCCAAATAAATCAAGGACTTAATTGAAAAAAACAAAACCCTAAACAAACAAGAAGCAGCTATGAGGAAAGTTTGATAACTTGGGAGTGTGGAGTTCTAAGTATGACACTAAACTGGAAGCTACCAACGACTGATCGGCTGGGCGCAGTCGCTCACATCTGTGATCCCAGCACTTTGGGAGGCTGAGGTGGGCGGATCGCCTGAGCCCAGGTGTCTAAGACCAGCCTAGGCAACATAGGGAGACCTCGTCTCTACAAAAAATACAAAAATTAGTTGGGTGTGGTAGTCTCAGCTACTAAGGAGGTTTAGAAGGGAGGATCCCATGAGCCTGGGAGGTTGAGGCTGCTGTGAGCCCCAATATCGTCACTGCGCTCAGGCCTGGGCAACAGAGCAAGAACCAGTCTCAAAAATAAATAAAAAATAAAAGATTCGGCCGGGCGCGGTGGCTCAAGCCTGTAATCCCAGCACTTTGGGAGGCCGAGGCGGGTGGATCACGAGGTCAAGAGATCGAGACCATCCTGGTCAACACGGTGAAACCCCGTCTCTACTAAAAATACAAAAAATTAGCTGGGCATGGTGGCACGTGCCTGTAATCCCAGCTACTCAGGAGGCTGAGGCAGGAGAATTGCCTGAACCCAGGAGGCGGAGGTTGCGGTGAGCCGAGATCGTGCCATTGCACTCCAGCCTGGGTAACAAGAGCGAAACTCCATCTCAAAAAAAAAAAAAATAAAAATAAAAAAAAATAAAAGATTGATCTTCAAACGTTAAAATTTGTAACAGTGCTGTGTGGAAAAAATCACAATAAGTTAAATAAGAAATGGGGAAAAGAGTACTTGCAACTCATTTCATAAAGGGCTAATTTATGAAGCATATCTACAACATACTAAAAAAAAAAACCTAACAATCTAGCAAAGATAGAAAAAGGATAAGAACAGATAAAGTTTACAGAAAATAAAACAAAACATTCTTAAATTTTTTAGTGAGGCAAGAACTTCAGCCTCACTAAAAAGTAAGAGTAACGAGGCTGGGCGCGGTGGCTCACGCCTGTAATCCCAGCACTTTGGGAGGCTGAGGCGGGTGGATCACGAGGTCAGGAGATCGAGACCATCCTGGTCAACATGGTGAAACCCCATCTCTACTGAAAATACAAAAAAATTAGCTGGGCATGGTGGCACGTGCCTGTAATCCCATCTACTCAGGAGGCTGAGGCAGGAGAATTGCCTGAACCCAGGAGGCGGACGTTGTGGTGAGCCGAGATTGCGCCATTGCACTCCGGCCTGGGTAACAAGAGCGAAACTCCGTCTCAGAAAACAAAAAACAAAAAACAAAAAACACGGGTGCAGCAGAGAGCATGCACTGTACAGTCATGGGAATGCTGACTGCCTTGAGGGCGAAGGCACAAAGAGGTCCCAGAGCAGGTCATGGGGAAATCAGCCTCAGAAGAAGCTCGAGCAGGAGCCTGCACAGAGACTCCATACACCAGCCAGAGGCAGGAGGAAAACCAAGAGGGCCTTGGAGTCCAAGCAAGGGAAGCGTCCAGAGGATGAATGTTACTGAAAAACAACACTCTGATTAAACAAGAATAGAAGAGTGACAAGAGACTGGGCAATGTACTGATGAAAGCAGCTCGAATGGAGTGGTGAGGATGGAAGCTGGAACGGGAGGGGTTGAGGGGTGGAAAAAATGACAGGATAAGTGAGGAAGCTCCCCAAGTTTGGCTTGGAAGGAGAAACACAGCAGGGGAGGCGTGGCGACAAGTGCGACAGGGAAACGTATCTGTCCGGGCAGGAGCACGATCCCGTGGACAGGGCGGAAGCGGGGAGAGGAAGCCAGGACTACGGAAGTGGGGAGGGCCTCGAGAAGGAGCAGTGGGTGCAGCATGCACGTGGAAGGGACTTACTGGAAAGGGAGGACACGTCGGGAAGGAGGACAGGGGTGCAGAGGCAAGCGCCTTTCTAGATGAAGATGCAACAGTGATTTGCAAAGTCTCCAGGACAGTTCCTGCAAAATAGAGGCATTGAGGATGCTTGGGGGCCGGCGCGGAGTAATCCCGGCACTTTGGGAGGCTGAGACGGGTGGTCAAGAGTTTGAGTCAGCCTGGCCAACATGGTAAAACCTCATCGTTACTAAAAATACAAAAATTAGGCCAAGTGCAGTGGCTCATGCCTGTAACCGCAGCACTTTGGGAGGCCGAGGTGGGTGGATCAAGAGGTCAAGAGATGGAGACCATCCTGGCCAACCAACTTGGTGAAATCCTGTCTACACTAAAAATACAAAAAAAAAAAAAATGGCTGGGCATGGTGGCACATGCCTGTAGTCCCAGCTACTCAGAGGTTGAGGCAGGAGAATCGCTTGAATCTGGGAGGCGGAGATTGCAGTGAGCCAAGACCGCGCCACTACACTCTAGCCAGGCAACAGAGTGAGACTCCGTCTCAAAAAAGAAAAGAAAAGAAAAGAAAATTAGCTGGGCATGGTGGTGGGTGTCTGTAATCCCAGCTACTCAGGAGGCTGAGGCGGGAGAATCCCTTGAACCTGGGAGGCAGATGTTGCAGTGAGCGCCAAAATCGCACCACTGCAATTCAGCCTGGGGGACACAGTGAGACTCGGCCTCAAAAAAAAAAAACAAAACAAGAATCCTTGGATAGTGTGAGAATCAAAGGATAAAAGCATATGAAAATGCTTTGAGGCCAGGTGACATGACTCACACCTATAATCCTAGCACTTTCGGAGGCCAAGGAGGGTGGATTGCCTGAGCTCAGTAGTTTGAGACCAGTCTGGGCAACATGGCAAAACCCTATCTCTGTTAAAAATACAAAAATTAGCTGGGTGTGGTGGTGGGCACCTGTAATCCCAGCTACTCAGGAGGCTGAGGGAGGAGAATCCCTTCAGCCTAGGAGGCAGAGATTGCAGTGTTGAGATCTCGCTACTGCCCTCCAGCCTGGGTGACAGAGCAGGATTCCATCAAAACAAAACAAAACAAAACAAAAAAACCCAGCAGGGCATGGTGGCTCCTGCTGTAATCCCAGCACTTTGGGAGGCAGAGGTGGGCAGCTAACCTGAGGTCAGGAGTTTGAGACCAGCCCGACCAACATGGAGAAACCCTGTCTCTATTAAAAATACAAAATAAACCAGGCATGGTTGGGCATGCCTATAATCCCAGCTACTTGGGAGACTGAGGCAGGAGAATCGCTTGAACCAGGGAGGCGGAGGTTGTGGTGAGCTGAGATGGAGCCACTGCACTCCGGCCTAGGCAAAAACATCGAAATGTCGTCTGAAAAAACAAAAACAAACAAACCAAAAAACACGCTTTTTTGATTTGTAACTCATTTTGTGAAGCTGCACCCTCACCTTGACACCCAAACCAGACAAGGACACAGAAGAAAGGAAAGTTTGGGGCCAGACTCACTCATTAACAAGGTCTCAAAGATCCTAAAAAAGTCTTAGCAGACAGAAACCAGAGACAAACAAAAAAAGGAAACATCGAATTCAACAAACGTTTGCGCACCCACAAAGTGTCAGGTACTGTTCAGGGCATGGGGGCGCTGTGCTAAATAAAACTGATGAGAATCCTGGCTGTGATGGGGCTTAAAATTGGGAGGAGGTGAAAGAAAACCAGAAAATACATAGCTGGGCATGGCTGCCTGAACCCAGCAGGTGGAGGTGGAGGTTGCGGGGAGCAGAGATCATTGCACTCCAGCCTGGGTAGTGAGCGAAACTCCGTCTCAAAAAAAAAAAAAAAAAAAGAAAATACAGACAGGCCGGGCGCGGTGGCTCAAGCCTGTAATCCCAGCACTTTGGGAGGCCGAGGCGGGTGGATCACAAGGTCGAGAGATCGAGACCAACCTGGTCAACATGGTGAAACTCTGTCTCTACTAAAAATACAAAAATTAGCCGGGCGCGGTGGCTCAAGCCTGTAATCCCAGCACTTTGGGAGGCCGAGGTGGGTGGATCACGAGGTCGAGAGATCGAGACCATCCTGGTCAACATGGTGAAACCCCGTCTCTACTAAAAATACAAAAAACTAGCTGGGCGTGGTGGCGCGTGCCTGTAATCCCAGCTACTCAGGAGGCTGAGGCAGGAGAATTGCGTGAGCCCAGGAGGCGGAGGTTACGGTGAGCCGAGATCGCGCCATTGCACTCCAGCCTGGGTAACAAGAGCGAAACTCCGCCTCAAAAAAAAAAAAAACAAAAAAAAAACAAAAAAAAAACAAAAATTAGCTGGGCATGGTGGCACGTGCCTGTAATCCCAGCTACTCAGGAGGCTGAGGCAGGAGAATTGCCTGAACCCAGGAGGCGGAGGTTGTGGTGAGCCGAGATCGCGCCATTGCACTCCAGCCTGGGTAACAAGAGCGAAACTCCGTCTCAAAAATAATAATAATAATAATAATAATAATAATAAAAATAAAAATACTACTGAGCCGGGCACGGTGGCTCAAGCCTGTAATCCCAGCACTTTGGGAGGCCAAGGCGGGTGGATCACGAGGTCAAGAGATCGAGACCATCCTGGTCAACATGGTGAAACCCCGTCTCTACTAAAATACAAAAAATTAGTTGGGCGTGGTGGCTCGTGCCTGTAATCCCAGCTACTCAGGAGGCTGAGGCAGGAGAATTGCCTGAACCCAGGAGGCGGAGGTTGCGGTGAGCCGAGATCGCGCCATTGCGCTTCGGCCTGGGTAACAAGAGCGAAACTCCGTCTCAAAAAAAGAAAGAAAGAAATACAGACAGATGTCATGTATAGACGTCAGGTGTTTCACAGGTGCAGAATACAAGACGAACACTTGAGGAAGAAATAATTTCTCAAGGCAACATTAAATCAACCTCCATCTCTACTGAACGTCCTGAACGACAGCAGCGCCCGCGGCAGCCAGGACTTGCCTTCCTTCTTCGGGTCATCCACGTTCGCGCCCCCTGCCCGGCAGGTTGAAGGCTCATCGCGGCCGCCGCCTCCTTCCATGGAGAGAGCTGTCAGAAGTCACTGCAGGGTGAAAGGGGACCAGCAGGTGAGCGCGCGTCAGGGCCCCGGGCTCCTGGTTTCCTTCAGCCTTCGGATCACAGGGGCAGAGGGAACCGAAGGTCCCGGCCAGGTCCGGGAGAGGCGGCGCGGGGTCGCTCTGAAAGGATCGCACCCCAGGGGGACCCCAGGCCGGGAGTCAGCCCGAGCGCTATCGGACGAGATAACGGAATTCTCGGCTCCTGGGCCAGAGCGTTGGGGGCTCTGGGTGCGCGGGGGGCAGCCCTGGTCCTCCCTGCATCCCAGACCGTGGCGCGAGGGGCGCCGGGGACCCCGGCCGGAGCCCAGGCCCAGCTCCCGGTGGCACGCGGCCCCTCTCCGTCCCGAGAACGTCCGTCCCGAGAACGTCCGCACCGCGCCGCACCTGGCCCACCCAACAGGCTTCGCCCCCGCCCCCGACCTCCTTACCTAGAGCCGTGGCAACGCAGGACGCGCCTCCGGTACGGATTTAAACGCGGCGCCGGGCGACGCGAGCTGCCGATTGGCGGGTTTGAAAAGGGCTCCGTGAGGCGGTGGGCCCGGTGCATCCTGGGGATTGTAGTCGGGACGCCGGGAAGAGGCACCCCCTCCGCGCGCATGCGAACTGCTTCAACGCAGCGATTGGCTCCGCGCGGCGCGGCGGCGCACCCACCCGGAAGTGCGGTAGACCATGCTACCTAGTGTCTCTCCGCCGTCCACATCGGCCGGAACCACGTACGGAAGCTCTGCGGGTGTAGGGAGAAGGTGAAAAGTGCCCCTTAAGGGTGTCGATGGGAAGACGAAACCAAGTAGGCACACCCGCCTTCTTGGAAGCCGCGCGCGCGCCAGCGTTTACTAACACAGTAGTGACAAGTCGCGGTCCCTGCCCCGAGGCGCGCACGGTTGCGCCGAGTGACTCGGGCCAGAAGGAGACTCGTGGCCGGAGCGGCACTGCCTGTGCGGGTCGGAGGAGAACCGTGGCCCTTCATGGGCTTCCCCAACCGCCAAGGCTTGAGGACGGCCGAGGGCGGGGCGAGAGCCTGTCCTGGGCTTTACATAAAGGCCAGCTGGGGAGCTGCGTTGGAGGAGAGATGCCAGGGACTGGGGCCCGGTGATGGAGCCTGCCTTGGGGAGTGCATATGCTGGGGAGGAGTGGGACGCAGATAGGACATCTCTGACCTGAGCCATACTCAAGGACAGGACTGGCAGACGGGTCAGTGGCCGGCAACTTGAGACTGACCTCGCTTTGCCTGCCAACCAGGTGTAATACCCAGCTAGGGGGCTTGACGATCAAATGAGGGGCTCCGCCCAGGGCAGAGTGTCACTAAGCGGGAGCTTTGATTATCCAGAACTGATGGGTGGAGGAGGATGCAGGAAGAGGATCCTGGGATGACGCGCCCTGGAAAGAACTCCGGAGAGCACCATTTTCAGGGAGGAAGATAAGCTGTTTCTTTGGGGCAGGTTCGTTGGAGAGCTGTCTAGGAAGCAGCCATCCGGGCTCCAGGGCAGAGGCCTTCCAGGCCGGCTGGAGCCACTTCCGGATCTCATGTCCCTGGTTTTCCGACATCCACACCAATCACTCCATGTGGCTGTGCTCCTTCACCAGAAGACCGTGGGCTCGTAAAGGGCAGGCCATCCCAGCCCAGCACAGGGCAGCAGGCAGGGGCTGAGCGTGCTGGGGTAGGCCGGTGTCATCAAACAGCTTGGAAAGAGTCTGGCCTGCTCATTTCATCCCCTCTCGGCTCGTCCTGGGGATGTCTGCTGGAAGAGTGGCAGAGGGATCCCCCAACGTCCGCTCCTGATACGCCTCTCCCGGTATCATGTCAGCACATAAGGTGTGGTCTATCTACGGCAAATTCATTTCTGCTTTCCCCGACTAGGATCTGCCATAGTTTGGATGGTTGTCCCCTCCAAATCTCATGTTGAAATGCGATCCCAGTGTTGGAAGTGGGGCCTGGTGGGAAGTGACTGGATCAGGAGGGCAGATCCCTCAGGAGTGGTTTAGCACCATCCCCCTGGTGACGAGTGAGTTCTTGCTTACTTCAGATACGATCTGGTTATTCAAGAGTCTGAGACCCCATCTCTCTTCCTCCTGCCCTCACTCTGTGATACACTGGCTCCCTGTCACCTTCTATCTTAAGCTTCCTGAGGTTGCACCAGAAACAGATGCCTGCGCCATACTTCCTGAAAAGCCCGAAGAACTGTGAGCCAATTAAACCTCTTTATAAATTACCTAGCCTCAGGTATTTCTTCACAGTAATGCAAGAAAGCCTTACACAGAGTTCAGTTACATTTATTTATGCATTCATTCACCCTTTCATTGACAGCTATTCAGCGCAGGCCATTTGCCGGGTGATGCCGAGGACAGGTGCTGTCTCTGACCTGGGGAGGTCATGGCAGGGGTGCAATAGCAAGGGCAGGTGCCAAGGGCTGAGGGGCACAGAGGCAGCACCCTCACCAGCCTGCAGCGGGAGTTGGGGGGTAGAAGGCTTCCTGGAGGAACCAAGTTTCCCAATTACATAGCCAAGTCACTTCTTGCTCGGAACCAGGAGACGGGAGGGAGGCTCCTCCTTAGGATGTGTCCCTAGCTCCTGGGTAGAGAAGGCACTTCACTGGAAATCCTACTATAATTACCCGTTTTCTTGACTAGATGCCCCACCTACTTTTTAATTGTTTTCCTCTTTGAGACAGAGTCTTGCTCTATCACCCAGGCTGGACTGCAGTGGCGCGATCTCGGCTCACTGCAACTGCTGCCTCCTAGGTTCAAGTGATTCTCCTGCCTCAACCTCCTGAGTAGCTGGGACTACAGATGCATACCACCACGCCTGGCGAATTTTTGTGTATTTATTAGAGATGGGGTCTCACCAGGTTGGCCAGGCTGGTCTCGAACTCCTGAGGGGATCCATCCGCCTCGGCCTCCCAAAGTGTTGAGATTACAGGTGTGAGCTGCTCTGCCCCATCTACCTTAAGTTCAAGAAGAAGCTGTCTCCCCAGGACCCAACCCCAGGCCTGGAGCATAGATGCTCAGAGACTTAGAGGAGCCGATTAATTCATTTTAATCCCTGAATTAAGCCTGGGCTTGGGCAAACTGGGCACTCAATAGATTTGGAGGTCTCCTCTCCCTTCTAGGAGGCCTGCTCCTGCCCCTATGAATCCCTCCCTAAGTTCAGTAAGGAACCTGAAAAACATCTGTGCACTGGGACCACTCCCCACAGGAAGGCTGAAAGCAGACAACTGAGTCAGCAGCACATTCAGGAGGGCGCTCAAAGGGGAAGCAGGAGCCAGGGGCAGCATTCACAGGACCCGCTCCAAGCCTGTCACAGCTACACATCACAGCACTTTGGGTTCTGCCACAACAGAGCAGCCCTGAGCTCAATCCTTGCACTTCAGAAGTGTGTTATGATTAAAATCATAGTGGACATGAAGCCCACCAATGATGTGCAGTTTAAAGAGAAACCGCTCCAAGCCCCAGAGACCGAGGAGGATCCCGTGTGTGCGTTCATCTGCAAGGAGGGCAGGGGGTGCAGGGGCTGGGGGCCGAGGCCAAAGGCAGCAGGCGGGCCACTCCCCTACCCTTGGTACCCTCACCTGAAACATGGGACAGCAACACACTGAGACGACAGAACCTGTCTAGGATATATGGAAAAGTAAATGAAAAGGTCCATCCGAAGGGTAGCCTGGTGGGGAGGGGGACAGATGGTGGGGGGAGGCTGCCTCTGGAATCAGCCCCCACCCCTGCCCTGCCTTCCAACCCCTGAACCACCAGGCAGTAGACACACTCCTCTGGGAAATCGAATTTGTAAGGCAAGTGGAGAGAGCAGCACCTACACTGGCTGTGACGGCTAAAAAGACATGCTGGCCCTTCTCAAGGACTGCAAGATTCCGAATCACATTTAAAATTAACCTTTGACCCCTGTCCTTTACAACTGAAGATCACCCTCTAACAGCCCTAACAGGCTCTGGCCGTCTCCTCTCCCTAAGCCGACGGAGCAGCTGCCTGGACGCTAGCGAGGCCATCGCGGAGGCTCTGCAGGGTGGAGGCGGCCAGGCTGGCTCACTACATGAGGTGAACGGAAGTCGCCTTGCGGATGAGCCGCTCGGTCAGAGGTGAGTTGGGCTTCAAGGCATCACGCTCCATCAGAAGGCTCCTGCGGAAACGGACACGGGGCTTCTGTTGCCGAACCTTCTAGAGGGATGTGGGGCCTGGTGGTCCCTTGGTCCCAAGGCAGAACACAGGCAGGCTGGGCTGCCACACTGAGGTCCCAGCAAGGGCCAAGGCCCAGGGGCAGGAGGCCTGGCCTCAGTCTGGGGAGAGGTGAGGGTGGGAGGGCACAGACCTTCAGAGCAGGAAGCCATGCCAATGAGGGGGCAGAACAGGTGTGAAGGGGAAAACCCAAGTTTGAAGAGAGGAAGCCCAGGTACGGTTTGAGGTAAAGACCCAGCTGTGGACTGAACGTCGGTGTCCAGGCTAAATGTATACGTTGAAGCCCAAACGCCCAAGGTAATGGTATTGAGAGCAGGGCCTCTTGGAAGTGATTAAGTCATGAGGATGGGGCCCTCCTGAATGGGATTAGTGCCCTTCTAAGAAGAGATGGGTGTGGTGGCTCATGTGGTAATCCCAGCCCTGTGAGAGGCTGAAGCAGGAGGAACCCTTGAGCCCAGGAGTTTGAGTTTACAGTAAACTGTGATCACAGCACTGCATTCCAACCTGGGTGACAGACAGAGACTTTGATTCTAAAAATGTTAAAAAATTTAAAAAGAAGAGACCTGAAAGAACTAGCACTGAAAGGAAAGGTCATGTGAGGACACAGCAAGAAAGCGGCTGTCCGCAAGCCAGGAAGAGAGGCCTCACCAGAAACAGCCCTGCCAGGGCTCCATCCTGGCCACGTCGGCCTCCAGAACCGTGAGACAAGGCATGCCGACTGTGCAAGCCACCCAGTCTGTGGCGCTTTTTCTTTGAGATGGAGTCTTGCTCTGTCGCCCAGGCTGGAGTTCAATGCTGTGATCTCAGCTCACTGCAACCTCCACCTCCCAGGTTCAAGCGATTCTCTGGCC